AAGAAGAAAAGAGAAAGAAGAGAAGAGGAAGAAAAAGAAACAGGGCTAGGGGAAGGAAGAAGAGAGGAGAGGAAGAAAGAAAAAAAAAACGTGGTCTGGGAAGGAAGAAGAAAGAGAAAGGAAGAAAAGGAGAAAAAAAAAAGTAGATAAGATAATTTTACCCTTTAAAAAACATTAGAATTTTACTTGTTAAATTATATATTTTTTATTGTTTATAATAATTTCAGCCTTTAAAAAATATCAAATTTTTTTGGGTTAAATTATTCATTATTCATTGTTTATGTTACTAGACACGTTTTCACTATTTTTGTTTTATGAGACTACATTCTAATTAAGCTATTAGACGTGTTCTCAAATCCTGAAAATGCAAATTCATTTTCTCGTTTTCCTTCTTTGAAAATGTTCTCCAAAAACGTTACCAGAAGGGCCCTAATATTTCATTCATTTTATATTGTCTAGTTTTTCTTCCATGTACATATCATAGATGTTTGGTTTTCACTTGAGCATGTTATAAATCATTTTGGACTATTGATCACGTTGATGCTTGCACAATGAAACCAATCGGTCAAAGGCGTTGAGAGATGTTTCGTATATTGATAAAACACAATCTATGACATCAAAAGACTTAACACATTGATCAAGATTTTTTTCATCTCCTTTTGACAGACCAACATGATAGATGCCATGAATGAGGAACATTTGAAGGAATACTCAATGAACATACCAGATGAGTTGAAGACAATGAAGATCCACAAAAGTAACAACTCTAAGCAAATCACCTATGCTTTTTCTACATCCACAATTGTACGCTTTTAATTTTAACAAGTGTCGTGTAATTGCAGATCCAAAGGGAAACAACTAAATGCTCAACCTCTAATGGCATTATGGCTTCAGTTTGGCAGTTCCACAAGGAAGAGGAACAACAGGTACAAAAGCAGTTGTTAGAATTTTAGGACATAGATAAATGAAATGTGTAATTGTTTGTTTAAATCATACTTGTCGTTGGCTTGTTTATATGGTACATAGAATTGTGCATTTCATGAAAAGAATTTAATTGAAAACTACAAAACAAAGTCGGTATAGCGTTCGTATTGTGAATGTAATTAAGCAACACATTTGTAGTGTTTGAAGTGAGGATAGACCCAACGACTAGCTAATGCACTTGCTTATGAATCTCTTATATTTAATGGGAGTGTTAGTTGGATTGGCCTTGACTTTCGTGTGCTTCCAAGTGGTTATGAGTTCAAGTATACAACTATGTGTGAGTTTCCCCCTTCTCCTTCCTAACTGTGGCCAAAAGAAAAAAAAAACTCGTATAATCATCCTCAATAAATAAAGTATCAAGTTCTATCCATTAAAAAAAAAAAAAGCAAAAACAAAAACAAAATTGAAAGAGTTCATGTTTCACAAAAAAATAGCTTCCTTTCAAAATTTGGAAAGGGTTAACAATTGATTTACCCTTGAATTTGTACGCTACTTTCAATTTCACCCCTGTCGTCTAAATCTTCAAAATTTCATCCAATTTTATGTTAAATCATTAAAAAAAAAAATCGAAAAATTTGAAGAAAAAGAAAATAAACCAAAAATAAAAATCTTGGGGACCCACAGACCTAGAACCTAGCGCCACCGCCTTTCCCCCCGTTTTCTTCTCCCCCATTCCCCTATGACCACCACTTGCAAGCCACCCTCCACCCCACAGACCCCACCTCCTCCCCCTTTTTGTTTTTTACACCCATGGCCCCTTGTTTTCTTCTCCCCCATGACCAACACCCACAACAGACCCCTCTCCTTTTCATGACCACCATCCTTTACTCCAGACCAATCCCCCACCCCCACACCCTTCAACCCACAGACCCACCTCCTCCTCTCCCTTTCTATTCTTTCACCCACAGACTCATCACCACCATCCCCCAACAGACCTTCCTCAGTTTCCGCCGTCGCCGCCTCCCCTCTCTCTCTCTCTCTCTCTCTCTCTCTCCCCCATTCCCCCCCCCCATCCATTCTGTTTTTTAAATTATAACAAAGGAGTCTATGTATTACAACAAAGGGACTGAGAGACGAGCTCCATATTCATAACAATGGAGATGAAGCCCAAATCCCAGCAGATTTTCGTGGCACCGAGGACAACTTGGTTGGGGAGGGCATAGGAGTGAGATGAGGATGAGAGAGAGGCAAAGCATAGAAGGGGAAAGATACTAGAGGAAGACAGGGTAGTGTGATATCCCGTTCCTAAATTAATAGTTAATTATTAAATTATTCAAATAAAAGAAAATTTTACCCTGAGAATATTTTAATGGGTTTAAAAATTGACGTTTTGTTCAAGAAAGAATTTGAGGATTTGAGTAGCACCGTTATGTAGAGCGCGCCGATACGAGTTCGTGACACGTAATGGGCTCGAATAAGAGTTTAACGAAGAAGTTATGATCAACGGAAGTGGAGTGGCCTAATCGTAAATATTTCGAAGTCAGATTTAAAAAACCCCAGATCATATTTCTTCTCTCTCTCTCACTCTCTCTCTCTCTCTCTTGCCTGAAACACAATTGGCCACTCTTTGACCAGCAGCTCCTTCGTTCGGCCATCGTTGGCCACGAAACCACTTCCGTTAGAACCGGCTAGACTTCCTCTCTCCGACCTACCCCTTCTCCGCCGCAATTGCCACCCCGTGCTGCCGGAAATAGCTCAAAACAGCCAGGTTTCTTCGAAAATTTCCGTCGTCGTTTCCGAAGATTCCAGCCACCAAATTTGTTGATCCAAGTATGCTTTCTCATCCTTTGAACGTGAATTAGTTGATGGTTGGGTTGGTTAGGATCGATTTTGAATTTTTGAAGCTCGATTTACGATCTAAAGTTTTAACTGATTTTCGGCTCTAATTTCTGGCAAGTTCCAACTACTTTTTGGCTGTGGCCCAAAAACAAAAGTTGCTCCACTAAATTTCTTGATCATGTAGGTATAGATATTGCTGGGTGTTTTGAGAATTTTCTGGTTGTCAAAATTTTCTCAAGCCACCCAAGTACTGCCGGCGTGTGGCCCAAGTTTGGGTGGCCCATTTGGTCCTAAAAAGATCTCTATGTTGTCTCGAGCATGATGGTATGCTCGGATTTGAATTTGGTTATTGTTTGACAGTCGAATGGATTTTTACATATTATGCGATATCCGGGTTCGATATGTTTGGACCATTGGATCGACTCAATTTCCAAATATGTTGATCTAGAAACCTCTAGGATCGTGTAGGAACTCAGGGGTCAAGAATCAAAGTTCCGGATACTCCGAATCAATGATTCAAAGATTATGTAAACGGTGATCGTGTGATCGTGAGCGATCCAACTGCTCGATCTGGACCAAACTTGCAGGGCATGTTTAGTGAACTTTGTTGAACCTGTAGGAACTTTCAGATTATTATTCGGAGGTCGTGGACCCCACGGGGGACCGGGTTGACCAATATAATAATTTAATCGTATATTTTATCCCGGGACTTTTCAAACCATTCCAATTGTCACCACTATTGAAAATGGGCCTAGGAACTTTCTTAAGTTACGCACACGCAGTTTAAGCCCAGGGGTTAGGGTTTTGATTAAATATTTATGGTTGAGCTATATTATTAATTAAATATTTTAATCGCTTAAATAGGTACTCGGGCTCCACCAAACTGCAAGAAGGACCCTCGAAGGGTCAGGCAAGCTCGGAAGCACAGTGAGTGGACGTTTGTTTTATAAATAAATTTTATGCAGTAAAAGTTTTATTAATTGATCATGAACAACTTATTTATGGGTTTTGCTTTCTAAGCATACAGTTTGAATTCAAATGCTTTTATAAAATTCTGTTTATGATTAAATGTGAATGGCTTGGAAAGTAGAAAAGGAAGTGGTAACAGGATTTAAGGATATAATGAGAAATAATATTATAATTTTCTAGGAAAGGTTTTTAAACCACCATAGGTACCCAAATGTTGCCTTTGAATAAACTGTAGCCTTCGAATATAATGATGTCCACGGACATCCTAGTTGCCTTCGGTTGAGTCAGCACTCGTTTGACAATTGCTCCGCGAGTCCTAAGGATACTCGGACTGTGAGGAGTGAGGAATGCAGCTCAGGTTGACCAAGTGTCTCCTGAGTTCTGCGAGGAATGCGGATCGGGTTAACTTTGTGTTTCCAAGTTTTGCAAGAAGGTGTCGCTTATGTGACACTTAGAATTGACGGTATAATGTGAGAAATAAATAGAAAAATCATGGAATTAACGGATTTATGATGGGTACACTTAGGTGGAAAGGAATTATTATTTTTCCATGCTTTCAAATAGTTTTGATGAATTGTTGGAATGTATGAACGGTTATATGAATATAAATATGCATGCTTGATTTTTGTACGAATATAAACATGGATTAAATGAATTTTCAAATGGTTTTAGTGGGGGTTAGTATGTTGATATTATATTTTGCAAAACCTTCTTTTGTCCACTCACACTTTTAATATTTTGCACGCCCAGGCAGTAATTGAGTACCGGAGCACCACCACGGGGCATTCATCACCCACCACTCCTCCACTTCCATTATGTAGGATAATCTACTATAATTGTACTATTCTTGTAAATTAAATTAATTAGTAGACTCTGATATTGCCCTTGGATTTCTATAAGACTTGAGGCCACATAGATTTGCTGTTGGATTGTGTGTGTTCTAACATTGTGCATGCTGAACGATTGTGGATATATGAATTGAATTTTGTACAGGTATAAATTTTGGGAAACGAGCAATTTACAGAGGAGACTCTGCCGAATTTTCGGCAAAAGTTAAACTTTAAAAGAATTTTTGAGTTTTAGTTTAGAGGGCAATTTGGTTAAGAGTAAACCCATTTTAAAAATATGGGCAAAGGGCCTGTGCATGCAAACCTAGCACGTGAGGCCCAAATCCCCCCCAACCCCCTGCCGCGCCGCCCCCCCAGCCTAGGCCAGCGCGCCCATCATCTTCTTAACAAATTCAAATCCACCCTTCACTATTGAGTAGTGTTTTCTCTTAATTTTTGATTTGGGTTATTCAGAAACAGCTCAAACTCTCTCGCTGAATTTGGGTTCATCATTTCTGCTGAGAAATAGATAGAGCTCATCATTCTCTCCATGCCCAACTGTTGACTCTGTGCCAACCTCGCCAAAAGCAAATCGAGGCTGCCACCATAGCCAAGAACCACGCGGCTGCTGGTAATTTCATTGTCTAATTTTTCAAGAATTTATATGCTTGATTAACTTGAAATGCTAGGTTTCAATTACATAAATTTGGGTTTTCTGATTTTTCATTGATGGTTTTTTTAGTACCCTTCCTTTTTTTGCCTTTTTTTTCTCTTCTGCTTGCATCAACCCCTCTTCATTTTTCTCACCAGTGAATACGAGTTGCCGTTTGAAGAAGAGATTTCAAAGCCATGCAAAGCACGAACCTTTTATCAATCCCATGCCTACCATCCGCTCCTACTCATCGTTAGCTTCACCCAATAGCTTAGCCAGTTCGTTTTTAGCCTCAATCGCGACTTTGCTCAAAGCCTGTAAAACCCAATGCCATCTACAACAAGTTCATGCGCAGATTATACAAAAGGGTTTAGAGCAAGACTGCTTCCTCATAACACAGTTCATTTGCCTCTGCAACACTCTCTCTTCCCTCTCTTACTCCACTGCCGTCTTCGACAGCGTTCACAGTCCCAGTACCTTTCTCTGGAACACTTTGATAAAAGGGTACTGCGAAAGGTCGAGTTTTTCCGATACTGTTGACCTCTTTGTTCGGATGAAGAGAGAGGAGGGTGTTCCCGATAGGTATACGTACCCGTCTCTCGTTAAGGCCTGTGCGAGTGAGGCGAAGGTCTGGGAAGGCAGGGCAATACATGGGACTGCGGTGAGGTGTGGGGTTGATGGGGATGTGTTTGTGAGCACCAGTTTGATTGACTTGTATGGAAAATGTAGGGAGATTTTGTGCGCTCGCAAGGTGTTTGATGGAATGTCTGAGAGAAATGTAGTTTCTTGGACGGCTATGGTTGTTGGGTATGCAAGTGTTGGGGACTTGGATGAGGCCCACAGGCTGTTTGATCAGATGCCACAGAGAAATGTGGTGTCTTGGAATGTGATAATTAGTGGGTTTGTGAAATTGGGTGATTTGACAAATGCTAGGAGGATCTTTGATCAGATGCCTGAGAAGAATGTGGTTTCTTTTACTACGATGATTGATGGATATGCCAAATACGGAGATATGGCGTCTGCAAGGTTTTTGTTTGACCAAGCCCCTAACAAAGATATTGTTGCATGGTCGGCATTGATATCTGGGTATGCACAAAATGGTCAACCCAACGAGGTTGTGAAGATATTTCTTGAAATGAGCACAAGGAATGTTAAGCCTGATGAGTTTATAATGGTGAGCTTGATGTCAGCTTGTTCCCAAGTGGGTTGCTTACAGGTGGCTAAATGGGTTGATTCTTACGTGAGCCAGAGCTCAATTGATGTTCGTCAGGATCATGTTCATGCGGCTCTAATTGACATGAATGCAAAGTGTGGTAATATGGAAAGAGCAACAAGTTTGTTCGACAAGATGCCTAAACGCGACATGATTTCATATTGTTCTATGATACAAGGGTTGTCGGTTCATGGTCGAGGGGATCAAGCTGTTGCCCTCTTTAATAAGATGTTAAATGAAGGTTTGGCTCCTGATGAGGTTGCTTTTACAGTCATCCTGACAGCCTGTAGCCGGTCAGGGCTCATTGAGGAGGGTTGGCACTTCTTTGAATCAATGAGACATAAGTACCATTTGACTCCCTCTCCTGATCATTATGCATGTATGGTTGATCTTCTTAGCCGTTTGGGACGGTTAAATGCAGCTTATGACCTTCTACAATCAATGCCTATGGAGCCTCATGCTGGTGCTTGGGGTGCACTACTTGGAGCCTGTAAGCTAAATGGAAATATAGAGTTAGGGGAATTGGTTGCTAATCGACTTTTTGAGATTGAACCCCTAAATCCTGGTAATTATGTGCTATTGTCCAACATCTATGCGGCAGCAGACCGCTGGTTTGATGTTTCTGCTGTGAGGGACAAAATGGAAGAGCAGGGAATTAAAAAGATAAGAGGTCGCAGTTGGATTAGTTCAAAAGGCTGAGCTTCTTGCTAACTCCCTTGATGCAATGCCTGGAGTTTATGCAGATGGCAGACAATGTTCTCTGACGTCTACATTATGTAATTTAAGCATTTACCTTACTAATGCACCTATAGAACTATTATTTACTTTATGTACGTGCTTTACTATTTCTGGATCCTAATCTCTTAGTTTCTTCTCTACAGGACGTGAACGATGTACTGGTGGCTGTGGATCATGTCATTGACTTGGGCCTTGCCAGTCCATCAAAACTTGCAGTTCTCGGTGGTTCTCATGGTGGATTTCTGAAAACCCACTTGATTGGCCAGGTGTGGTAGTTTATCAAATAGCATGACTGTGTGCCTTTAATATACAATGCATAGACTCGCAGACTATCTTCATGTATATTCTATCTTGTTATTGTTATGCATTCCAAGTCCTGGATACCACTAGTTGATGATTCAACTTTTGGACAGCTGCTTATTTGTGCACTGGTGGTTTGGGGCTTTCATTTTTATTTTTAAAGCGTATAAATTATGCAAGGTTGGTAGATGAATGCTCTAAAAGGTGGAAAGTACATGTACTTTTAGTTGTACTTAAGAGTTCAATAATATTGTAACTGAAATGCTGCAGGCGCAGGATAAATTTGTTGCTGCAACGCTAGGAATCCTGTTTGTAACCTCGCAATAATGGTGGGTACAACAGACATCCCTGATTGGCGCTATGCGGAGGCCTATGGAAGTGAGGGTCAAAATAGCTTCACAGATGCACCTTCAGCTGAGCATCTGACTCTCTTCCAAAGCAAATCTCCTATTGCACATGTCTTGAAGGTATATACTTTGTTTAGGCTTCTTTTATGTTACGATATTATGATCCTACTCTGGATTTTGAAGCTTTCATTAGAAGTATATTGGATCGGAATAGAAGAAAAATCTACAGAAACATTTAAAACCGAACAATCTCAAGATAGCAGCTCTCCCAACATCGATTAACTGCATGCACTTTCACATTTTAAGCAACTACGGAGACATATCATAAAATTCTTCAATAGCTGCAATTTGCAATCATGCATCGACTTTGGAAAGGCAGAGTAGCATGATATTTGCCATTTGAACAGACAAGATGTGTATTGTTGTCACTGCATCACGTGAAGAAAAATATTAATTGAA